ATCCAAAGCGTCGAGAAAGTAAAACACTCGGCATACTTTGCGCTCGCAAATCGTTTGACGACGACGACGACGACGACGACGACGACGACGACGATGACGACGATGACGACGGACTTGGATTTTAACGATCACTTTCCTTAGATTAAATCTTTACTTATTTATTTGCTGGTTCTTATACATACATAAAGAGAACAAAAAATACAAATAAACGTACAAATCTAAATAGTCTCATAAATGTGTTACACGTGATACATCGTAAATGTGAAATATTTTATCTGTCTACTTACTACTAGGTCGTGTATTTGTGTCGTTCTCATTCAAAAGAATGAAATCAAGGAATTATAAAAAAAGAAAAAATATCTCGAAGGTCACTCGAGCATAAAACTCGCAACGAGTTGAGAGAGAGAGAGAGAGAGAGAGAGAGAGAGAGAGAGAGGATCATTGTGGCATGAAATCGAGATGCAAGATCATCGGTAAGAAAAACGTACGATGAATCGACGAAGATATTACAAAGATGAATGGTTACATACTTCGAAGAAGAAGAAGAAGAAGATGATAAAAAAAAAAAATAAAAAGAGATATAAATAAAGAATGAAAAAAAAAATAATAATAAAAAAAAGAAGAGTACGCGGCTCACGATGAACGATTCTTCGTAACGAGCTACTCTAAGCCGACGTCGGAGACGGAAATTGATTTCGCATAAATGCATACAAATGCAATTCTTTCTGATCCCTTTTCTCGTCTATGACCTTTCAGAAATATCAATCTTAACACGACTTCCGGTTGATGAGAAGACTAAGAACAAAGAGATCTTCTGTAGTAGCAACGTAATAAAGTATTAAAATACTCTAACTAGTAATAGAGTAATATACTATATATTTTGTTATTAAAATTATTAAATTGTACGATATACATTTTAAAATAACAATAGGTATTTATCGATTAAGAAATTATTAATATAAAAAAAAAACCTATTATCTAAGCAAATTTATTTCAATTTAACTATAAACTATTACTAATTCCAATATGAACTCAATCAAACGCAACGAAGAAAAGCTTTCGCAAAGAAATTAATATCAAAAATATTGCATACCGGTAAATGAATAAAAAAGAATTTAAATAGAAAATGCATATTTTCGAATTTTCATTTCTAAAACATTTAGTGGACAAAAGCAAGCTAGCTAGCAAGCAAGCAAGGATATAATATATAAAGTGTAAGACGAAGAGAGACAGGACGATAGTATGGTAGTATTAGGTAAAGGTAGTAGTAGTAATAATAGTAGTAGTAGTAGTAGTAGTGTCGTTCACGCACAAGAGAATCCACCAACGATAACCAGTAGACTCACATAGAGGTATAAGTTAGAGAGTAGAATATATATATGTGCGTATTGGTCATGTGTGTGTGTATGGGTTATGTAGGCGAATGCGCGAGCACATGGTGCCCCGTTCTCGTACGCTTGTACGTGTTATGCCGTGCGGTACGGTCCAACATAGGGACAAGGGAGGCGATATATAATGTTCCGCGATATTAAACGGGACGCATTCCACCGAAGCCACCCTCTGGTCTCTGCTATGAATGCTTCTACGACCCCCGTCTCTTGCTTCCATTCCCCTGCCCCCTGCCTCCAACCCTGTTCCCTTTCCACCATTCTCTTCCAGTCCCGACCTTCTCTATCCACCCCAAAACTCTACAGTACGAGAGGACGTGAACGAACAGAGAGAGAGAGAGAGAGAGAGAGAGAGAGAGAGAGAGAGATAGGGTGTATGAGAGAGAGAGGAATAGAGAGTACGAAGCTGGCCTACTCGACCAGCAGAGAGCCACCCCGAAATGGTTATACGGCAAATTTACAGCTTAGCTAGTTCCACCACTACCATCTACTATCGCCAACACTATCACCAATACCAAAACCACCCCTACGAATACACCATTTACTGCACCCAAGAGAAGTAGATAGTAGGAAGAGAAAGAAAGAAGAAGAAGAGGGTGAGATTTTTGGGAAAGAGAAAATAGAGCTAGAATCCGTAACCTATAAGGTGTCTTATATAAACTGTTTCATTTTTGTTACGGATAAATATATGTCATTTTGTGAAACTTTGATCAAATTGACACGTTTTGAATTTTATTATTATCTTGTTATTAAAAATGAGAGGTTAAATAAAAAAAAAAAAATAATAATATGATAGTTAGTTAAACAATGACAAAGGAAGTTTTCCTTGGTAACGAAGAAAACCAGCGGTAGCAGCAGCAACAGCAGCAGCAGTAACGTGGTGATGGTGGTRGTAGGTGGTTTGAACATAGCCGCATTTCCATGCGAGATAGGAGAAGATAGTATAAGGGTAGAGAGAAACGCCAGAAGCGTAATATCGGCGAGTGGGCAGGTCATGCTCTAGAGAAAAGGACGTCGCTTGGGTCTCTCACGGTAGCCCTGGAGGAGTCGCGGTCTCCCGTGACATTCCAAAATTCCCACCCTTTCCTGACCATCCTGTCCTTTCTCCCTTCTCTTCTCTTCTCTTCTCTACTCTACTCTTCTCTTCTCCTCTTTCTCTCTCTCTTCATCTCATCCACCACTTCTCAGTGTGTCCACTCCCTGCTCAAACAGCTTCTCTCTCTTATTCTGCTTCTCTCCTTCTCGGACCTTAGTAAAGCTTACGGGGGGTGTGGGTTAGTTGGGTACACCCTATCACGGGCTCGCTGCCCTGGCCGTTTCCCATCCTTCATCCGTACATTTCCATCCCCCTCAACCACCTCGTACGCCGAATGCAACCATGCGTCATCCGCCATGATCTATGCATCCTGCCGTCCTGGCATTGCGTGTACCGTCCACCACCATCATACACATACTCACACCATTATACACCATGGAATACCATTGCGCCTACGATCTCTTCGTTTTCTCTACACACATATGTATGTATATATGTTTATATATACAATCTCTATCTCTCTTTCTCTTGCTCTCGTTCTCATTCTGTCTAGCTTTGTAGCTCTCTGACAAGCTTCACTAATACCGTTTCTATATACATGTACATACTACGTGAAGCTGCTCTTCCGGTGTCTCTATTAAAGCTCGGCGTGTTTTCCGAGCTTTCGGTGTTACTGTCCTACTGATGTTGAAAGATCGTATAATACTATTCAAGAGAGAAAGAGAGAGAGAGAGAGAGAGAAAGGGAGACAGAGACAAAGAGAATGCATACCTTTGGCTTTGCCAAATTCTTCGTACATCTTCCGGAAAATCAACGTCTTCCATTTTACGTTTCATCAATGATACTTTATATTCGCTATCACTAACATTGTATTAAAATCCAACAAATTGGTTCAGATAAATGGGCATCCTATTGAACGATCATAATGAACGAATGAATTTTTAAATATCCACTTAATGCACCTGTTCAATTACTTTCATCGATTTCATTAGCATAATAATTATTTCGTAAAATGGGAAAACATTTCTTTCTACCCTAATCGAAGCTATTGAAAATTGGAAGTAATCGTTTAAGTTATAAGAGAATGACACATACTCGCGCGTTCAGGGATGGTATAAACCTTCATACCGACAAATGATTATAGGTATGGTCGATCTGTTTTGGGCAAATGGTTGTTCGGTCGTCCGATAGAAACCGGACTCATGATATAGGTCCTCATATAATAGCTCGTAATCCATACAATATCGTTTACGGTAATGTGAGAGCACTTAATCATTCACGTTATTACGTCACGCCCAAGCATTCGCATCCGTAATTGCCTCCGTACCGCCAATATTCCTCATTACCATAATAACAGTACCTGAACGATCGCCGTTGACGTCTATAACATTAATAATAGTAACTCTCTTTTGTCGCGGAAGTAAAATACTCTAACTATACGTCACGAACCATTACCTGTCATTTCCTTTTTGAAATGTAACTTTAGAAAAAAAATATATATGATTAATAAATTCTTACGTTCAATATGTATCCCGGAATAGCATATTATACTACTCGACTACATTAAATCAAATTACAAAAAAAGAAAAAGACCACCCCTTCCACAGATATTAATCAACACTTATCAAAAATGCGCAGCTTAAGAAACTATCATCTCATCGAGTATTTAGAAAACGCGTTTGCGGGATGACTCCTCAGTTAGTGGTAACAGAAATAAAAAAAAAATAAAAAGAAAATTTGATGGTGTTTGACCATTTACTCCTCTTCACTCGCATCCCCTCTTTTTTGGTTACGGTTTGGCAAGACATGTCGTTTCTCTCGGCTTTTCATCCGTTTTCCCTGGGGATTATTGCAAGAGGGACATTTTCGAGGGATGTTCTCGCGAGCTTTGGCTTGGCTCGGCTCGTATCGCGTTGATGCCCGGATACGGGAAAGAGCTAGCTGACGAGAGAAAGAGAGAGAAGGAGAGAGAGAAAGAGAGTGAAAGAGAGAGAAAGAGAAAGAGAGGGAGAAAGAGAGAGAAAGAGAAAGACGATGATGGGGACGATACACCAGGGGCTTAACATACACACTCCACCCCCGGTAGGCGGAGTGTACCGCCTACAAGCTACCCCCACCATCGAACCACACGGCACTGATAGCAGCGATATCAGGCAAACACTTGTTGCTTGGCTGCTGGAGCCTCCCGTCCTTCTTCATGTAACATCCCTCTCTCTCTCTCTCTCTCTCTCTCTCTCTCTCTCTCTCTCTCTCTTTATAACTACCCCTATTCTTAATTTTCTTTAATATTTACTATCCTAAACTTATCAAATGTTATGATACTTATCGATGATGACTTTTACAAAGAGTTTATGATTATATTTATATTTTTATTTTTAATTCATTGTGCATAATGATTTTATTTAGAAATGATATTATAATTTAATTCAACGAGGGTATATTTTTGTATTTATTAATACGATAATGGTAATAAATAGTTATATGAAAATAATTGAAATGTTTAATTGGAGATAATAATATTAATGGTTGTTTATCACGATCATCATAATGTTTGTTTTTATTTGTTATTTTTCTAGGCAGTGCGGTGGCTGCAGCCGACACCATTTCCGCGCCGTGGACTCCCGCGAGTTCCGGGCCGCCGCCCGACGCCAACGGCTCCGGCTCGGATACGAAAAATCTCGACGTTGGCGAAATTAGCGATGTAAGTATATTAGATTAATTAATATTTTTATTTACATTTTTTATTCATTATTCTAACTTATAAATAACATATATATATATATATATATATACATACGCGAGTTTCGTATATAAGGATAATTAAGTATCAAATATCACAGATATTTCAAATAATTCAAAAATGATTTTTAAAAATCAAGTATTATAGAAAAATAGTTAAAGAAATTGTCAATTAGTGTGTATTAAATATACTTTTGTATATTATTCGATAATAAAAATGGATATTCAAAATTCAGTTATAAACTTTGAACCTAAGTTTATATTTTTAATTTCGTTATATTTGTCGTTTTTGATAAATTTTATTATTTTGTATAAATAAAATGGTTAGCGTCGATTTCTTGGCAAATTCTCTGAAGTATGTTCGTATGGGGAATTTTTTTTTTTTTTAAGTAGATAAACTCAAAGATAATCGTTGAGTTCCTCTTCGTACGGCAAACACACACACCGAAAGGAGATCTTCGTTTCGTTGAAATTCCGAGTCTTGTTTTCTTCCTGCACTCGGGATATATAACATCGTGCGTACATATACGTGTGTATTTATACATGCTGCATGCATGCATGCATACATACATAGATAAACTCGTACATACGAGAGACGAGGTGGGCTTATACGCGAACGGCCGGAAATAAAAGTGGATACGCGAGAATTTCTTGAATCGCAGAAAGCAAAATCGTCGCGTTCCAGGCGTGCTTTTAACTTCGAGAAACTCTTCGGCTAAAGAGATAAAGAGAGAGAGAGAGAGAGAGAGAACGAGAGAAAAAGAGAAACAGGGAGAGAGTGTCTTTGTTTCGAAAGAACTCATCTGATTGGCCGGATTCAAGAATTCGTATTTTTTTTCTCTTCTCCTTTTTATTTTCTTCGCCATATCGAGAATAGAAAATTACATTACTTACTTTTCTTTTTTATTTTTTGGTCGATTAATTATATAGATAAAATAACATTCCCATTTGCTAGTGAGATACTCAAGAGAAAAATAATATCTTCGTAATTTTATACATATAGCACTCTCCATAACAGAATATTTAAAGGGTATAAAAAAATTGCTGATATCTTTCAAAAAAATAAAAAAAAAATGTAGTTAAATTTATTAATATTTGATAGGCAATTAAAATAATTAATCGGTGTAAACGATAAGAAAATTTTTATTCGTTAATGTACATATAATATATATATATATAATTGAATTTTTATATTTGTTATAGTGGATAAAATAAAAAGTCAAGGATTTTTTTAAACGATCTTTTTTTCTTATTTCAGGACGAAAAGGATCTGTCAGCAGCGGACGCGGAGGGAGTATGGTCTCCGGATATCGAGCAAAGCTTCCAGGAAGCTCTCACCATATATCCGCCATGCGGTCGACGCAAAATTATCCTTTCCGACGAAGGGAAGATGTACGGTAAGTCGATAAGATTAACGTACTATGCGAGCTGCATATTTAAACCTATACAGGATGTAGATACGTACCTCTACCAAACAAAAGGACTAAAGGTTTTTTTCTTTTGCGAATATCCATGATTGGTTTAATACAAACGAAAAGGAATCAAAAATAATATCGAACTGTATTGAATTTATAACATTATAAAAGCTTTCTTCTCTCTCCTGTTATTTTCAATTCTAACTCTTTTATTTTTTTTATTTTACTATAGGAAAATATATTTATCACGAAAAGTACTCGTAAAAGTACTTGTTGTTTTTTTTATACTATTACGACAAAGAACAGATTTGAAATCTGAACAATTTTTAAATCATATTATTCTATCTCATACGATTGTTATTTTCAATTCTATCTAATTCCTTTTTTTATTTTGGTTTCGAATTTTGTTATAAAAAAATATATTTATTACATAAGTTACTCGTAGAAATACTTGTATTTCTTTTTTTACTATTACCGCAAAGAACAGATTTTAAATTTAAACAATTTTTAAATCATGTTATTCTATCTCATACGAAATTACGTCCAACAACGAGTAAAAATAATACAATAAAAACATAATCAAAGTTTATCGTATCGTCGAAAAGAAAAAGAGGAAAAGAACAAAATATTAAATAATAAAAAATCCGAAAAATCCTTTTCAACGATCTATCTTGTCCCTTCTCTTATATTTGATCGTATAAAATTGATAAGGCGTGTCAATGAGAAAAAAAAAAATATATATTTATATATAGGTATCGTATATAGGTATCAAAGGGATAATCTCTTGTTCGTTTCACGTAGAGACGAGCAAAACTACGTTACGCGATACGACGCGATGCGACGCGACGCGACGCATCGGAGATGTTCCGACCTGGACATCGTTATTGCTCGATGCTGAGGTCAGTCTACGTGACCGGCCGGATATTGCTTGCTACGACCACCAGCAGCACCGTGGTGGCCAACCACCATAAACCACCACTACCATTAACCGCCATGAACTCCACCACCGAAGCAATAACGCTCTCGTGTCTCGCAACTCCTCTTCCTCCTCCTCCACCTACACCTTCTCCCCTTTCCTTCTCCTCTTCCTCCACACTCTATCTATCTCTCTCTCTCTCTATCTCTCTCTTTCTTTCTTTTACATTTTTATTTTTTGTTGTATTTTTTTTTTTCAATTTTTTTTTTTCATTCTCTTTCTTCTTTCTCGTGGAACTCAACCCATAGTCTATATTAAATTTAAAAAAAATCACGACGTGCCTTCAATATCGTCTATCCACTTTTCCCTTCCCCTCCTCCCTCTCCCCCTCTCAAGCAAATCCTCTACCGCAGACCACCTTCTTCTTCATCCTTATCTTTTTTTTTTTTTTAAATTCTTCGTAATACCAAGTTCAAAAAAAGACTCTTTCTTATTATGGTTTTATTATTATACATTTTTTTTTTTTTTTTTTTATATATATAACTTTAACGAATTAACATGTTCCGGATTAATTTCTCATGGAAAATTACTGATCATGTCGAATCCATTCATCGTTGATCTAACTTTCTTTCATCTAAAGGATATATTTTCTTTTTTTTTTTCTTTCTTTCTTTCTTCTTCTTTAAATTTATTTATTTATTAACTCAACGTCATTTTGTTTTCTTTAGGAAAATTATATCGCGACAGTTCACGGGTTTTAACTTTAGAGTTTTAGTCTATCTGCACGTTGTATAAACGAGTACCGCTTGAATCCCATTCGTTAAGGTACACAATATCGCTTAATTTCCGAAAACACTTCGCGCGAAAAACCAGCGGGTGGCAATTCAATCGTGGCCCATGACGGCGTCCTATGAAAACGAACCTTAATTTGGCTTTCTATCTTCCTTCTACTCCTCCTCCTCTTCCTCCCTTTCTCTTCCCAACAACTCGTCTTCGTTCTATGCGTGTATGGTGGTGTCTGCTCACCTCTCTTTCTCTCTCTCTCTCTCTCTCTCTTTCTCTCTTTACTATCATCTTGTTTTCTCTTTCTCATTCTCTACAATTTCACAGATGAAAACAGGAAGAACGATGCAATGACAACGATGAAATGAGGGTTAGAAGAGAAACGGTGGTAAGGGGTAGGGGAAGGGGGATTAACACGGTGTTGTTTACACTTCTCACCGAGTTACACCCATCCCCTTGCCCTCCCCCTCATCTCTTTCTCTCAATCTTGTTTTCGTTCTCGTTCTTTATCCCTTTCTCCTCGTACCCTTCTACGAGTTATTATTGAAAATTAGTTTTGCTAGTAACGAGTTGAAAGAAAGAAGGTGGAATGAATTCGTTCCATGATTAACGATAATAGCAGCAACAGCAAAAGCATCGTTCATTTAGATAACTCGCACTGTTTATATATATATATATATATATATCATTGTTTATAAAAAATTAGTTAATAAACTACAATGTCACAATATTTTATTTCAAATAGATCGGTGTACGAATACTTTTTGCACCTATTGTATCTCGATTATGATAAAAAAATCTTCTAACTTTGCTTTTCTTATATTTTATCGAAAAGATTGTATGTGTGTATCGTTGTTTACAAATTTTATTTGATTTTAATTTATAATTACCTTTTTTTAATTGATCGGGAAAAAAAAATTATTTGAATTATAAATTGTCATTAGAAAAATATCTGATACTACGTCGAGTCAACTTTTGAGAATTATTTAAAAAAATAATAAACAAAAATAAGGACGATATATAATAGATATGCTTGGAACGAACAGTTTCTTATTTAAAGATATTTCTTTTTCCAAAATGGATTGTTCGTTATTTTTCTTGACATTGAGAAACGCGAAAGACGACGTTTGTTTCACGATACTCGAAAGACTTAAACGTGACTTAAACGTGACATATAAAATAATAGATTAAATAAAATGTTCCGAGAGAATAATCGTAAAACGAGATTTTCTTCTTCTTCTTCTTACATTGTACAAAATATCGTTTTCAATCGTATATAGTTTTATTATAAATAAAACTTTCCTATTTGAAGATCAAAATGCGATACGTTTCCGATTCCAATATTTAGACGATTAAATAGAAAAGAAAAAAACAGAAGAAAATGACAACGATTTTCTATAGGAAATAAAATATTCTTAATTTTTATCTTGACATTGAGAAATGCGATCTCGATTGTCTCGAATAACCCGGAAGGAAAGGAACGAGAGATACAAGATCGATTTAAAACGTAGAAAACGAAGAAAAGGATGATGGTGATGGTGGTGGTGATGTTGGTGGAAGAAGAAGAAGAGGAAAAGGAAAATTAAAAGGAGATAGTTGTAAAGGCTAGAAATGAAGGTGTGGAGTGGTCGGTGGGGGTGGAGGTGGTTTAGGAGGAAAGGTTGGAGGATGTCGACCATCCGTCGGTACGTTCGTCCGTTCATCTATCCGGCGGAAGGAAACAAAGGATAACGAGGCGCGAAAATCGCTTAACGTGATTGGCCATCGATCCTACGGGGAAACTTATCTTCGCCCATTGCTAAGCTTCGCCGAGCCAATAAAGGATACCCCAGCCCCTACCCCCTCCCTCTGCCCCTCATTGGCTCTTTCCATGGGATTAAATATCCCGAGGCAATTTACCTCTTTCTAGAACGTCCCTTTTCTCTTTATTTCACCTTTTCCAAGTACCCCCCTACTTCTTCTACTTCTTCACTATTCTTTCTCTTCACCCTCAACCTTTCTCCCACTTGCATCTTTTCGTTCTTCTTCTTTTACTTATTTTTTATTTTATTTCTTCCTTTATCTTTACCTCCCCGCTCATCTTAGCCATCACCATCAGCTCACACCATTCTCTTCTCTTCTATCAACCTTATACACCACCCACGCTTGAGATTTCTTTGCTCTTAGCGAACGTTTCCTTTTTGTTAAAACAGGAAATGCTGCGTTTGTAACGGTAAAGAAGGAATGAGAACGAAAAGGGACTAGAGAAAAGGGCGAACGGTATAAGTCACAAGGGGAAAAGTCGAGATTGCTTTAAATTTAATTATAATTCGAATGAGATCGGTCGAAGCGAAGCAACCATCAGTGACAGGTATTTCTTAATATCCTTTTCCACTTTGAGACTACGAATTCCCCTTTCCATTCGATCGTGAAAAAAAAAAACATTCTTTTATTTTCTTTTTCTTTCTCTTTCCTTTCCTTTATCTACTATTCTATTTTTTATTCACTTATTTTATAATTAATGTTACAGATAAAAAAAAAAAAGAAACTTCATACTATATATAGTAGCACAAAATATTGAATACATGTGTATTTAATATAGAAATTCAATGTCTTATTAATATTACATACACATGTATTCAATATTTTTCAATATTTTGTGCTACTAGGGTATTTTGTTATTTGTTTATTTCATATTACCAAAAATCTTAAAATTAATAAAAATAAATATAAAGATTATCGGTATAGTTTAAATTAGTATCGATTGAAATTAATTAAAATATCCTATATCAAATCGTCGTATGAAATATATTTAACGAATGTGTATCGATTTCTTAAAAGAAAGATAGAGAGAGAGAGAGAGAAAGAAAAAAAACTAATTAGCATCAATCCTGAATCCATTTGAAAGTATCTTATACGTTAGATACATATACGTATTGCGACTTGAGCTACCATGTAGCGTGAGATACGCCATGGGCAAGCAAGAAATGGATCAGGTAGCAAGCAATTTAGACACGAAAGAACGAGTTAACTCTGCCTCAGGACGTATTTAGACAGATAAATCGTTGCTTCGCGAACTCGACGGCAGTCTATGTCTTTCTCAGTAGACCATAACTGAATCAGTCTTGCGTAAATCGTGTGCATTGGATGCTGGAAACCTTAGCGACCAATCCTACTATAGTTACAATGTATACGAGTATATACATGTGTTTAATAAGAGATCGTATGTCCTTATACAACGTTACATTTATACATTTCTGAAAGATTTTAATGGGATATTTAAATGGAATCTATTTAAATATTT